CATAAAAGGCGAGAGAGGAAGAAGAAAGATTGCTTTAAGGCCCTAAAATTTCTTTTATTTGAAACAGAGGCTAACAACCACCTCAAATACATTCTATCATCAGAACTAATAATTATCTTCAAATACTAAATATTTCTACCCTGGGGACAAACTCATTCTCCAGTGAACTTTCTAAGTGAGCTAACCTTTCTTCTCACCACTCGGGGAATTTGGGACAACACCGAAATCCCTCTGCGGCCATGCTGCTTCCATCGTTATCAGACACTCATCCTCTTAAGTGACCATTAAAATTGTGAGCCTTGCTAACGTCAGAACACGATATTTATGATGTTCTCAAAGTAAGATGTTCTTTAAAAGATGCGCACACACTATATGCGGAACTAGAAGCTGTGTTTTTGTGCCGGTCAGAATGGAGATGGAGGGGTACTAGAGCTGCCCAGAGTGTGATGTTATCCTGTATAGAAGCCTTCCTTCACCAAGAACACGCTTTCCAGGCAGACCTTGTCTACGCTCAGACTGTAAATGGGATGGCAGAAGGGGTACCAAACAGGAGCTCTTACCTATTTCTTTTCAGAGGTACAACCTGGGAAAGACATGCAGAATTACTAGACACAAATCCTCAGACAAAAATATTTGAAACAGTCCCCCAAGCTGAAAGAGAGGCTGAAAAAGTATAAATTCCAGTGCGCTTCCACGGGAGTAGCCATGAGACTGTACTTTTATCACTCGTAGCCTTTGACAATCAAAATGTAAAATTACAAGTAGGGACTTTCCCTGGATATGGTGGGAGAGGACAGGAAGGAGAGCAGGGGAAAGGAAGTGACAAGGATGAAGAGGCAACGTGCATGGGAACCAATACCCCATGATGCAGATGTTTATTGTATACCACTAACGTGTACTAATAAAAATTCTTTATAACATGAGCCTCGGTCCCCACCTGCAGCTCCTGTCCAGTGGTGAAAATGCACCCCTTTGTATGTGGAGAACACACATGTGGTGTGCACTGCACACACCAGGACCAAGGGGAGACTGACCCACTGGTGCCACCAGATGTCCAGGCAGCCTCCACCCCACAGCGGGTATAAAGGTCTAGGAAACAGAATTGTAACTCCTCTCAGTGGCAATTGCTGAGGAATTGTACAGGGTTAGGGTTATTTTGTCCTGGTTATCATGTAGCCTGACTGCCCAAGAGTTACCCTGGAAAGTGCAGGTCACTTGTCAGTCAAAGCTGGGACTTAGGTCTCAGCCACATTGCTATGTGGCCTGCAGAAGCACCAAGCCAGAGCAGTGAGTGTAGACTATGGGTTCATTTCAGCTAAAAATACCAGGTTTCATGGCCTTTTGGGGATCACTGTGGAGCTGGTACAGCCTCGGGCATCCCATAGTCTTCCAGAAAGCCTAGAATATGTCTGATGTTTAAAGCTTGCTTCTCAAGGATTTCCTGTGCTCCAAGGAACCTTATCGTTCCACAATTCATAGTTAAGCTCAAGCACCAAAAAAGTTAAGTTTTCACCCTTTATTCACTGCTTTGTGTCCATCTTCTTTCTGTATTCAAATCTTCCTACCACCCTCTCTGGTTATTCCAGAGTGCATGCAGATTTAACAATTCTCAAAGTTGACTTTGAATTTAGGAAGGCTCTCCTCATCTCTCTTTGCCTTGCTCTGTTATACTTCAAATTCTTATGGCATTTAGCAAACTAACAAATTATTCTTGGAGCCATGAACACACCTTCCTTTATTTTAGCATTAAAATGGATACCTCCACGTGTTTGCCACTTTTTTTTTTTTTTTTGACAACAGAGTTAAACACGGGAGTCCCACATTATTTTCCAACTGAGATCAATGTCCCCAGACACATCTGTAGAACACTTAGAGTTCAGGCTTGTGTTCCTCGCCATTCTCTCCTCTGTACCTACATGAGGAGTTGTGTCTACTAATTCTACATCCTTTTACCAGTTTGCTCCCCTGAAAAGAAGTAGGTAAGAGCTCCTGTTCAGTACCTCGTCTCCCATCCCATTTACAGTCAGTGGTGACAAGGCTTCCCAGGTAAATGTGTCCCTGGTGAAGAAGGCTTCTACTGAAGATTACATAACCATCTGGACAACCCTAGAACACTTGCATCTCCATTCTGAGTGATAGATAAACAAAGTTCCTTGTTTAATACATAGCTTGTATTTGGCTTGGAAAGAACATGTGGTTTGATTTTATAATAAACACATAATCATAATGTTCTCATGATAGAAATGCTCACACTTTTTAAAGGTCACTTACGGGGCTGGGGATTTAGCTCAGTGGCACAGCGCCTGCCTGGCAAGCGCAAGGTCATGAGTTCAGTTCCTGGTACCAAAAAAAAACCCCAAAAAATTAAAAATTAAAAAAAATAAAAATAAAGGTCACTTACAAGGATGAGTGTCTGATAATTTATGGAAGCAGCCCAACAACAGGATTTTGGATATTGACTCAAATTCCCTAAGTGGCAGGCAGAATGGTTTATTGCAGGTAGAAAGTTACTTGGGAAATGAGTTCATTCCCTTGGTGGAAAATGTTTAGTATTTAAGAGCATTATTAGTTCTAGTGCTAGAATATATTTGAGACAGTTGTTAGCCTCTATTTCAAATAAAGAATTACCTGGCCTTAACATAAATCTTTCTTCTTCTCTCATCTTTTAGTCAGCCAAGAAAGGTAAATATTTTATTTAACCTTGATCCAAAGAGCTAAGTGGGAGCTCCTTTCATCTAATGCAAAAGTAATTCTATAACCGTATCTTTAGCAATCAGTAGTAACACCGAATTACACAAAATTATTTAAAAGAATTTTATTAAATGAAGTTTCAAAACACTGTTCTGAATAGACTTTGTACTTTCCTAGTTTTAATGATGACAAAGTCAAATAAGATTAAAACAGAAAGTACTGTGTGTATAGTGAGCTAATATATTAAATATTGCCATTTTTATTGCTCCTAACATTTTAACTCTTGCTACTTATTAACTAATTACTGCAGTAAGTGCATATTCAAGCATTGGGTTTGTAGTAAGCACAGGAGTGTTATCTCAACACAACACAACTTTATGTAATTAATGAGCAAGTCCCTGAATAGGTATTATTGAAATGGTCTTGTGTTACTTCCCTTTTGGTATCAAAGGGGTGCCTTGATTGTCTGCTTACTTTTCCTGCATAAATGTGTAGTTTGAGTTAAAAGGAAATGAACAAAATATGATTAAATTACAGAGGGATAGTACAGTAAAAAAGAGTATCATTTTCTCTGAAATTGAAGTCATATTTTAATAATGTCAACTATATACTACTTTCTGAGCATCATAGAAATTTAGTTACAGGACATTTTTTGAAAGGCTGTACTATCAATTTTTTCCTTTTTATTATTATAAATATATACAATTTTCTGATGTATTTTACCGTGTGATGTGTGTACATACATTGCATACATTGTGCAAATTGAGTTCCTCAAATATTTATTATACTTTCAGATGAAAACCTTCAAAATCACTCTTTTACTTATTTTTTTAAAAATATGATACCACATTCCCTGTTTTTATTTCAAGTATCCACACAGAAATCTTCCCAGCCTCACTAACTAGATTCCATTATACAAATTCACACGGAGGCTACCGACATTGTTTTCTCTCTCATGAGATTTCAATTTGTGGTAGTCTTAGAGTCTCAAAACCAAATTTCATCCAGAGACTTATGAAAGTCTGTTTAAACTTTTTAATATTCTTTGAGATGTCCCTTAATATTTTCACTGGAATTTTGTGGATGATGAAAAGAATTTATATACTTCTTTTCTTTCATTCCAGAAAATCCTTAGAGTGCCCTGTTTTGCATGCATTGTTATCATTTCTCCATTTACTTGTGTGTGTGTGTCTCTGTGTGTGTCTGTGTATGTGTCAGAGAGAGAGAAATTTTTTATAATAATAGACAATGAATCCAAGGTTCTTGTGCAGCCTTTTATGTTTTTCTATTATGAGATAAGTTCTCCCTGTGTTGTCCTGCTTGGGTTTTACTTGAGGTCTTCCTCCTCAAACTCCCAGAGTGCTGGAATTGCACATGTGCCTGAACCCCGGGCCCCTGTGTCTGCATATTATTTAACTCCCATTATGACTTTTTCCAGACTTTACTCTAGTCTGAGCTGATGGTTATTTGTGAATCGCCATGTGTGGTGAACTGGTCTCTACCTTTCAAACAACACATAACACGGATGCTGTCTAATACATCACAGAAGCACTGAGATGAACTGCTGCTTCTGCAAGAGGGAAGTCACAGTTGTTTGTAAATGTTCCAACTCTAACCCCACATCACCAGCACACACAAAATCACACAGGTAAGGTGTGTTCAATCTGTATCTGGTGGTGAGATCTGCAGATCAGCTAGGACTTGGTATTATGCCTTGGGGTTGAATCTATTTAAAGCAATCAGTTCCACTCATTTATAATTTATAAGTTGAGTTAATGAGTCAAATTGTGTGAAACACAAAACTGCCTTTAATAAGTATAGATTATCCAAAAATGTAGCCTATAACTCTAGAGGAAAGTATATCTTGAGACAAAAGATCATACTCTAATATAGTCAGATATGTAAAAATGTGCACAAATTCATCAAGGCAAAGACTGATTGGAATGAATAATGCATGGAAAAGAAACAGTTAGTGAGGATGAGAGTGATTAAGCACAATCACAGAAGTGAATTTTGATTGACACTCTTTTCATACCATACATGCAGAGTTCAAGTCTGCACATTCTAAGTAGCCTTGCATCCTAAGTCATAGATGTCAGCTGTATGTGTGAAATGTTGAGCTTTCCAAAGAGGAAGGAGGACTTTTATGTCATTCCTCTCCATTAAAAAGTCTTGATGAAGTTTATAACTGCTGATGTTAAACCTTTTCCGTTAAAACACAGATAAAATTAGAAAATGAAATAATATTTCATGTCTCATAGTTACTATAATACTTCTTAATAATAGAGAATCAAGCTATATACCAAGTAAAAGCTGACTATAGGAAGACATAAAATAAAAATTGACTGTACAGATATATAAGAAATCTTCTGTCTTTTACTAAAACATTTACTACTAGGGAGGGTCTTATGTGAGTAGGATCATGGTAAACTAATGAAATTAATCATTGATACACTGAAGATTAATTCAGGGTTTAAGCTTCAGGGAATTCAAGTAATGGTAATATTTAAAATAATGCACCTCATCGCAAATATAAGTTCTCTCTCAAAAAGAGAAGAAAAACAGATGTAAGATGGGTGTTTATTAATAATAAAAAATAAGGAGGTGTGAGTTTAGAGCCCCTGCATTTTTAGTCTTTGTTCCTATATGGAAAGGGGAAATCACAGTGTATCACCTTTGTATTAAAACTGATTATAAAAATGTCAAAGATGATGACATGACTTGATCTTCTGACGGTTTTCACAGATGTCCCATGAAGACATAGATGCACAAGACAATGTTTCCACAGCGGGGCACTTTGTCCTGCTGGGATTCTCGGACCTTCCAAACCTCCAGGGCTTTCTGTCTGGGCTGTTCGCCATCATGTACTTGGCTGTCCTCATTGGAAACAGCCTCATAATCCTAATAATAAGGCTGGACCCTGCCCTCCACAGACCCATGTATTTTTTCCTGGCAAATTTTTCTTCTTTGGAAATCTGTTATGTTTCAGTCACTCTTCCGAGGATTCTGTTCAACCTCTGGACTCAGAGGAGAACTATTTCTAGGCTTGCTTGTGCCACACAGCTGTGCTTCTTCCTTGTCCTTGGAACCACTGAGTGTTTCCTGCTGGCCGTGATGTCCTATGACCGCTACGTGGCCATCTGTAACCCTCTGCACTATGCTCTGCTCATGAGCCCAAGGAGGTGCGCTCAGCTGGCCGCTGGCTCCTGGCTCGGGGGGATCCCAGTGCAGATAGGACAAATGTGTCAGATATTCTCTTTGCACTTCTGTAATTCCAACCAAATTGAGCACTTCTTCTGTGACATCCCCCCCATTCTCAAGCTGGCCTGCGGGGACACATCTGCTCATGAGGTGTCTGTCTATGTGGTAGTCATGTTGGTTGCTGCAGTTCCTTTCATTCTGATCCTTGCCTCTTACAGCAAAATCATTTCCACCATTCTGAGGCTGCCCACAGCCAAGGGACGGGCCAAGGCCTTCTCCACCTGCTCTTCCCACCTGCTGGTTGTGGTTCTGTTTTTTGGATCTGCTTCCATGACATATTTCAGGCCCAAATCCAGCCATTCTGCAGGAACCGACAAGCTCCTGTCTCTTTTCTACACTATCGTGACGCCCATGCTCAACCCCATGATATACAGCCTCAGGAACAAGGACGTGATTGCTGCACTGAGAAGAGTATTCCTTAAAACGCAGAGTCCTGGTTCTCCTTGATGTTTTGATCATATAGTTATGAGAGAAACATATGTGCACTCTATAGTCTCTCTTTCTGAAGTTAGCCACTTGCATTTTAAGCTGTGTTTCCATTCTATTTCTGTATTGAGTTCCAGTTTACTGTGCTTGGATAGAAAGCAGGCCCATTCAGCTATCTCCAGTAAGGCATATGATCTCTTAAATTATAATAAATTGCATATCACTTTTTCCCTGTCAATATCTAAATTCAAAATGCTGTCTCATAGGTTCAGTTTCATGGAGATTATTTTCCTAGTTGTTCACACCGTACTTGTGTTTTCTGGCATTTTCTTTTAATCTAGAGGGCATAAAATAGTAGTTACCAACAGTAGTTAAATAATTAATGCTTCTTGTGTGACCAGTTTGATGCATGAGTAGATACTAGAATGAAATATGGAGAAATCTAGGGATTTTACAGAATCAGCATTAAAATTTATTCATTTAACTAACTGTGTAGGAACACATAATTCTTTCTGTTGTTACCAGGAGATGCAATTTGATTGATTCCAGGAGAAGAGGTCCTATCACTCAGTCATCCATCCAACAAGTCCTGGGAGGACACATGATATAAAGCCACACTTGTGCTTGACTAAAGCAGTTTTATTCTGTTCATGTCCTGCCTTCCTTTCCATATGTCCTCAAATAATCTCTTTTCAATCACGTAGTCTCTCAGCAAAAGCATAGATATGTAGACATTTGTATACCTAAACAAAACTGCAAGTGGGAAAGAGTTGTAAATCACTCCCATGTTTGCCAGAGGTTCTCTTATAGTCAATGCATTAGTTCTCCTAAACTTTTTCACTGTAATCCCAGTGAAAGTATATAAAATTCTCTAATATTTAATCTGATCCTATTGTGGAAATTGAGCATGTTTCCATAGAACTCAAAGTGTCCCAACTATGAATATAACAGTCTCAAAAACATAATCCATTTTAAGAAAATTTTGTTGTTGTATTTCATATGACATTTATTCCCACTTTTAACTCTTATTGTGAGCACATACACAGAGCTGTGATAAGGACAATCTTAGCTTTTCTTCTGAACATAGTTTCATTTCTCTTTTTTTTACCCATTTTCATTTTTTACTATCTAACATGTGATAGTAAATTTCATTCATATAGCTTTCTTATGTAAATCTTCATGTATGCCTGCTTGATCACACAGTGGTTATAAACCATCTTGGTTTATACAGGATGGTTTGTATAATCCTTGGTTTATACTCAAGGATTTGTCATGTGATACACTAGGAAGACCATTTCCATGGACACTGTGACAAGAAAGACAGCAGATATGGTGGAAATTCTTCCATACATCATCCATTTGCTGAACTTTATAAATTAGGATTCACCACATTGTGGGTAAGGTTTTGTCTGATCAATTCAGATAAATGAATTATCATCTTTTCCTTAGGAACAGTGTTGAGTAGTTAAATTAACACTGAACTGCTTTCCCATAACATTTATAATCAGTAAGATGGTGATAATGCACTTGATCTTACTAATCCATAGGATCATTTCTGGGGAAACCTCACACCTAGGACTAATAAAAAATGGAAAAGTTTTGTTAGAGCAAACTTTAGTGTTGACTTTATGGAGATACAAAAATGGAGACATCAGTATTGATGTTTCATTATATTTCTCTTCATTCACTTAAACATCAAACGCTACTCAGAGGAAAGTGATATACCTTAATAAGGTGGAAATTAAAACTACTTGTATGTATATTCTCATATTTTACCATTCAATAACCCAAAAATTTTCATCTTCCTACAATATATTCTTTCTTTAAGATATTCTTTTGAATAAGAGATTACAGATGTAAAAATGTATAATTTAACATGGAAACAGTACAGTTTGAGTCCTAAGAGGTTTAGCAGCAATACAAGTCACACTGTCATATGATACCTCAGTGAATAGTACATTGGTTCAGTTTGGGATACACTCAACTGGGAATGGAAACTAGCACAGGCACTATGAAAATCAGTGTAGAGGTTCCTCAAAAGCTAAAAATAGCAATTCCATTTGATCACAATAGCAATTCCATTTGATCACAATTCCATTTGATTTAGGTATCTTCCCAGGAGTGCTAAAAATATCAATTCCATTTGATCACAATTCCATTTGATCTAGGTATCTTCCCAGGAGTGTTAAAGTCATCACATCACAGGGATACATGCATACTCATGTTTATACCAGCACTATTTATGATTGCTGGGTCTTGGGAGCACCCTGTACATCCATTAGTAGAAGAATGGACAAGGAAAAAGTGATACTGATAGGTTGTGGAGTACTAGTCCACCGTAAATAAAGGTAAAATTGAGGCATTTATTCACCAATGTGTAATTTCAGAACATAATGTTAAGTGCCATAAGTCAGAGACACAAGCTTAAATACCACATGGCTTCTCTTATATGAACTATAAAAATATATCATAATTGAAAAAAGCTACATAAAAAGTAAAGAGAATTTCAAATAACTCCCCAAATTATCTATTCTGTTGTTCAGAAAACAGGTATATGGTAAATTGTTTTATTGGTACTACTAGTTATTTTTATTCATAGTAAATAACATTTTAACCTTTTGTTTTGTTTTGTTGTTCTGTGGTTTTGTCTATGTCTACATGTATGATTTGTATGATTTGTACTGAGTAACATTGTGACCATTCTTTCAATCTCATAATACACCGTATATTAACAATTCTTACTCTCTAGTGACTTTGTTGTGGAATTTTGTTTTTTTCTTTCTTTATGGAAGTAACAACATGCTTTTTATATTTTCTTTATTAACACCGACTTGCATAACATTAAAATAACGACAGAATGCCATAGGGACGAGTCTCCTCTCCATTCGGGTATTGTCATTCCCTGGACCGCAGCTTCAGACCTGCCAGCAGCCCCCTCCCTATTACACGTGCTGCATCACATGGCAAAGGGCCTCGCAGAGCTCATTCACGTTTTAAGCCTTGCAACAGGGAGAGTGTGCAGGGTGTCCCAACCTCGTCACAGGAGGCCTGAAAAGAGAAGGAAAAAGGCATCAGTGCTGGGCCTAGGCAGTAAAAGAACAAGAAAAAAGAAGAAGGAAAATGTCCAGCACAGCGAGGCCAAGCGCTGCAATCCCATCAGGAAGGACACTGAGGGTCGTGAGTTTGAGGACAGCCTGGGCTCCATAGTATGACCCTGTCTACAAAATAGAGAAAAAGTAGTATGAATGTGACACACATCGCAGCACTTGCTGTGCTGGTTTGCTGCCTTGCCCAGAGAATAGCCAGATGTTTGATCAGTCATTATTGAGTTGTTTCTTATGAAGATGTTTTCAATTACTGATAAAAGGATTTGCCCTAGCTCATGTAGGAGGGCACGATCCAGTCAGTGCAGTTGCTCTTGCCTGACTGTCGGAAAAGCATAACAACACCTATGACAGCCTTTGGATGTGAACCTAGGCATAAGACTGTGTTGGGTCTCAAGTGAAGTAACCTTTAAACAAAGCTATGCAACCAGCCACTTTGACATATTTGTTATTATATTGGAATTAAACATTTGTTCTTCTGGATATCTCATTGTATATGATGAACATCGTATGCTACTACAAGCACTATATACACTCTATACAATAACTATTATATCTTAATAATGAGAAAAAGTATTGGGAGAATCACAACTAATATTTGAAAATAATTGTTTCTTCTTTTGTGTCATTTTCCCCAAAGACAGAATGAATGGATGGAGAGAGAAAGAGAGAGAGAGAGGGAAGGAGGCGCACTGGCGGATAGGGAGACACATACACTGATACACGCAGGTAAGTGATTTTCCTAATTAAGTCATTGCAGAAACTGAGCTGTCGGTTGTGACAGCGACGATGTAAGTGAAGGTAACAAACATCAGATCACACAAATGCACACATTCCACCGGGCCCAAGCTAACACTGAAACCAAATTGTTGCTAAGCCTAAAGCAATGCTTTATGCTTCTAAATAAATGATGAATTCTAAAACATGCACAGTAGTGAGAAAATCACCACTGCATTCCAATAACGCTGCATGTCCTGGACATTCTCAGAGGCGATGAGATCAGAGAGCAGCCTGAAGAGTGGCTCAGCCTTCTGGTCATCCACAGGCTTTCCTGTGCCCTTATCATAGAAGGATTTTAGTGATTAGATGAGATAAAGGAAGCCCTTGGCATTGGCACCTTCACAGTATTTATTACAGACATGAGGGCTTGAGCCAGAAACATTTTAAAATTCCTTTGTAGGGGCTGGGGATTTAGCTCAGTGGCACAGCACCTGCCTGGCAAGCAAGAGGTCGTGAGTTCGATTTCCGGTACAGGAAAAAAACAAAAAAATAAAAAATAAAATAAAATTCCTTTGTGGACCCTGGGGCAAGCCCAACATAATAAGTAGATATTTTGCTTGTTATTATTTTTATATACTTCCATGTCCATCCTCCAAAGGAGACACAAGATCTCTTATTTTTTGAGATAATTTTCTAATTCCTTCAATTCCTGGTAATAGTTTGAGTTTCTAAAAACAGTGATAAAAAGTTGTAACTGAACACCTTGTTTTTCTAAAATACAAGTGATAGCCGCTCATTAATTTTATGTGCTCATAATATATAATCCAAGCAGTGACAATGTAGTAATTTGTTTTGATTAGAAATTAACTTATAGCCAATGATTTTGTTTTAACCAACATTGTACAGTCAGCTAACTCATATTAACTAAGTGCTTATTTGAGACCAGGGATTGAGACAGAAGCCAAAGAGGGAGGTACAATTGGTGGATTAATTGAGCAAGCTTGTTTGAGAACTTTGGAAAGTGCCCTACTCTCTTTACTGTAAAAACACACACTGATAGTGAATGTTATTTGTGCTGCTATGAACTTCAGAATCCTAGTCTTTGTAGACCTTGGCTATTCCTCATTGTCCAGAAAATGCTTACCGATCTCCTATCAGGGAAGGAAAAGTTTCCTATTATGGGTGTCCACCTCTAGT